GGATATTAAAACCCAACACACGGCCAGATACACTTGAGGAGTCTTTTTTTGAAATTAGTATGTCATTTAAAATATATTTAATATTTCTGTAATTGCGATAGTGATTGCATTGTAGTTATAATAAAATGTAAAGAGTTGCAATTAATTAGATAATACTTGGACATTCATTTGTAATGATGCCATCAATAGAATCAAAAGTTGTTAGACGATCTATATTGTTGGAAGAACTATCGACATTAACTTCATCATTTTTCCTTCTCATTCTCGTCTCTATATTTTGATGTCATCCAACTTCCCCTGAAAAGCAAAGGCTATTGTAGTGAATCATAACAATTGAAATAATGTTGGGTTCTATGTCGACTTCCTGAATGTACATGCACAACTATGTCCCTCTTGAATGGTATATTGACATTATTTCCTAATATCAAAATAGCCGACTCGATCTACCGTCAAAGCATTGTACACTAACTTACTAAGATACACCTATCTTTAACTATTTATGAGTAATAAGGTTGTTTTACCATAATTTAAAATTTAATAATAATCTAAATCTCAATAAAGTTGGCAGGTTGGTGTTGGCCTAATCAACAGCAAATAGGAACCGACAATTTTTATTTTTTTGAACCCAGAACCAACATTTTTTATGTCAAATATGAATCACAAATCATACAACACCTTCTAGTAAAGATCATTTTATAAAGTCTATTCTATATAGACGTCGCCAAGTAAATTATGAGAATTTCCAGATTAAAAAAAAAAAAATCATTCCCATCACTGTACTCGTATCCTTGCATCAGAAAATTACATTTTTATGGTATATACTAACCTGTCTTATTTACAATTATCAATCATATGCGGAAAGGAATAAAATCAATGCCGCCTTTGAAAAGAAAATAACACTGAGAATAATTTTCTTATCAAGTCATCAGTAAATAATTATCTAATAACATAAGTACAATAATTCATCAAATCAACCTTATATAGAAAATTTGAGCATTAAATAATTTTTCGTGTGTACAGTCATTCGGTTACATCTCAAAAATTATTTAAAAAAAAAAAAAAAGAGGAAAAAAAAACTTCAAGAATTGAAAATAATACAAAGAGAGAATACTGAAACCTTTACTCCTGGTAAGCGACTAATGAGATTTTTTGGAGAGTAGGGATAGAAAGCAAAGGCTTTTAAAGAGCCGTGGTCGTACCTATATTTTGCGAGGCTTGAGGCGAATTTCAGAATCTGAACTCCTAAATCGTAGCAAACAATTAATTTTCTTCATTTGTAAGAGTTTTAAGGAACTAAAGTTGTTAACTTAAAATCAACAATAAAAATAACAAATAAAATGAAAAGATGTCATCAACTCTTTTTGAACTCATTTCAACTAAAAAGTCCCTCACATTTTGATCACCAATTTCCAATATCATCAAAATTCAGAGAAAAGTAATTCTCTTGATATATATCTTCATGCAAAACATTATTTTCATTATTCTGCTTTGATCCATTCACATTGCAGGTGCAATCATTTCCTTGTTCTCTTTCGATAAATCCACATTATCATTGTCATTTTGATTCTATTGTTCCTCAATTACTAAATTTTCCATTATTCCTTCATTCTCTTTTCTTTTCTAGCCATTAAAGTACTTACCATATCTCCCACGTGGCTTCGAATGAATACTTCTAAATGCATATTTAGGAGCCATGGAATTTGACTCACTTTTTGACCTTTTGTTGCTTTCCTAAATATTCCATTCCACAAGTACATAATCAAAACAAGATTTTTGTTCATATTCTACAATATGGTTGTGAGATATCCACGAAGCTAAATAGGTATTAAGAAAAAAAAGCGTCCTAACAATCTATTAACAGAAAAGGAAAAAAAATAAAAGTAATAAATGATTATTAATGTTTCTAACTTAGCTATAGTGGGAGANNNNTTCTAACTTAGCTATAGTGGGAGAAGATTTCCTTCCATTACATGTCTAAGGTAAACACATTTTGTATTCACAATGAATTCATTTTCAAATAAAATAGGAAATAAACTTATTATTTGTAAAAGGGGTTAAAAAGTTTACACATTCTCTGACTTTGCACGTGGCTCATAGCCTTTAGAGGAAAAAAATTGTTATTGCAACAACAATAACAGTATATCATACAAAGTCATAAATATTTTCATAATGTAATAGAATAAAATGGAAAAAATTAAATTACGTCATACTTAACCATAAATTGCACCCCAATTACCCCATAGAAGGCAAAAAATCACATTAATTTCGAGAAAAACAATTCAATTCCACACACAAATTATTGATCCGATCAACTAGATTTTGAAACAATGTAATTGAATTTAGAGACAAATTATTAAATATATAGAATCTACCAATCAAAAAAATTAAAAAAAAAACTAGAGTTAATAAACAAGCAGATCAACAAACATATGTGTAATGATGCATAAATATATAGGGGTGTTACACAATAGAATGAGTATTTTTAATCCAAGCACTGATTTTGTGATTCACGATATCATTGTTGAAAAAGCCCTATTGTTTGGAGCATCCAAGCAAGTGTGAATGAGTACTAGAGGTGGGCATTTTTTCCCGAAATCGATGGAATCGGACCGAATCAAATAGAATCGATCGGTTAGATTTTGGTTCCTCTACTAATGGGTCTATTTTGGGACAATGCATTGAGAATTGGTCGGTTCGGTCCAATTCTCTGTAGTGTCTTGAAAATCAGTAATGAATTCGGTTATCCTGAATTTCTCTTTTTGTTTGTACCAAGATGCACTAGATTTTTAAAAACTAGATCCCAAAGTTATCTCATGTTAAGATTTAATTTTCCATATGCTTCTTCTTCATTCCTTTAATGGGTAATCAAATTCAAGTCTAAATAATTTTATAAATACTTTACAAATCATAGCTTTAATGCAACCCAATAGGAAAAAAATATTTTTAGTTCAATATTTCATAAGAGTTCAAATTTTTTTGTTGTTTCCATAGTGACCAGCCATCAAGAGTCAAGATCATCGAAAATTACTAAAGATAATCGGGCTATTGTTATACGAATTTTTCTTAAAACCCATTTTTCAATCAAGATTTTACTGTTTCTGCTGCGTTTAATAGTTCATCTTCTTTTCACCTTTATGAGTTGATATTGAGCTTTGGAGTCAATTTTAGTTTGTTGCCTTGTTCAATTGTTTTTTAATATTTTTAGATTAAAAGAATGACAAATGATTTCATACTCTACTGTTGTCTATTTTCAATTGACAAGTAATTTCATATTTTATATTTATAATTTCTCAATATAAAGAACTGGATTGGACCGAATCAAAACCAGTTGGTTTGGTTCTAGTGTTGGATATGGAACCAATGGTTCCATTTCTAAGATTTTCATTGGTACTCGGTTCGATTTGATTTGATTTCTTTTAGAATTAGACTGAACTAGACCGCGTCCACTCCTAGCGAGTACAAACGGTCATGGGTTAAAAAAAAGGAAACAAAATTTCTTTTGGACCCCCTAAAGAACTGGGCCTGAAGCAGCGAAATTTTAGGCCTCTCCTCAAGTCCGACTATACGTAACCACAAGGTCATATGAAGAGGAAGAAAATAGATTGTTTGTGAGGTTGAAAATGACAAATAGCAAGATGAGCGTGTAGAATGAAAGGTTATCGCAGATTGTCTAAGGAAGGCGACGAATTGCATATAGTTGAATTAAATGAACGTTTTAATTTCATGTGGGTGACTACAGGGGCGGAGCCAAGAAATTCCTTTAGTGCGGGCACAATTTTATCGACGCTGAAATTTGAGTTTTTGGTCATGGATTTAATGATGAAAAAAATATAAAATAATATTTAGACAATATTAAAAATGACACATTTTATAAATTATACTTGTTCCTTGGGAGATTTCATACTTTGATATCGGTGTACAATAATTTCATTATTAATCTTCAAACTCATTTCCAATCACACATTTTCACAATAAAATATCTTGCGTCTAAATCTAAAACTTTTTCTTACTTTTTAACCACACGTTCTTTAAAAATTTTGCTATTCGAAAACTGATTTTCATTGAATAAAGGTCGTTAAATATGGGCCAAATGTGTGAAAATTATATCCAAGTCAAGACTTGTAACTCCAAATATTTTTTGCGGAACGTGTTTACCAAAATTTTTTAAATCTTCTTGCCGAGTTGACTTCCACCATGCTGATCCAATTGAATTTCCATTGGTTTCTTGGCGAAAAAGTCCCTCTAACAACTCCCAAGGCCAGCTACTTGCTCGGACTTTCCCCGTTCATTTTGTATACAATGTTGGAATATTGATTACAGGGGTGGCTGACACGCAGAACACACATATTGACAGTGGAAATGGTGTATCTTGATTCTTGTGGCAGTTATGGTGGTGGTAGCCGCCGCACTTGTACCAGCCTTTCCCGTACATTGTATGAGACAGTGTATGGTGGGAGGAAATAGTGGGAAATGGCTCGTTGATTGGAACATATTTTCACAATGACCTTTGACCCATTAATACAATAATAAATAAAAAAAGAGTTAAAACATAAACTTTACAAACAAAAAGCCAAAAATATCCTTGATGACTGTTAACAGTCGGATCGTCAGCCCTTTTTTAAAACCTTTTCTAATAATTTAATTTTCAATAATAAATTATATTTTTTTTCCTTATTTAATTTTGTTTTATAGTCTATTTTTTGATTAATTTAATTAAATAATATTTATATTCTTTATTTAATTAAATAATATTTATATTCTTTATTTAATTTTAATAATTTCGTTTTGTTTAAATTA